CTTTTATTAGCTCCCTTCTTGTTTAACAATATTCAGCTCAATTACCCAAGTCTATTTTGCGATATTCTATCGCCAAATTAATTCCGCGATGTCATTCTGTTTTTATTTTTCCTTTCTTTTTTACTTTTAATTTAGGAAGAATTGTAATTTTGGTCCCTCAATCTATAGTTCATGTGTGGAATTGTCCCCAATCTATTTCGCAAATCAATTTTGGCCCCCAATCTATTCAGTTTTGAACGAAAGTGAACAATTGGCGAAATTTCTTCAATTTTAGTTGGAACCAAGTCACGTGAGACCACGTGCTGGCACTTAAAACCTCTTTTTTTAAAAAAAAAAATTCTTAATTTCTGAAATGTGTTTTTTTTTTATTATTTTTAGGTTTCTTTTGCCTTTTGTTTTATTAAACAAAGATATAAAAGGCCAACATTCGCTAATCAAGTAGATAGTAATGCTTAGTGGAAAAAATCACAGAATAAAGAGTGATGTTGATGTCCTCTCTTTCTTTCTTTCATCATCTTCTCTCTTCCAACTCAAGAACAAACCGTGTGACCCTCAATCACATTCTACTTAGAGAACAAAATTGTTGATTTTGGCAAAAAGTTGCAAGAATTGGGTAGAACTTTGTATCAAGCTTCTTCTATTCTCAATTTGGGTCCTCATGGAATCAATGAAAATTTGCAACTGCAAGCAGTGAGCAATAATGGTTACCTCTTGGATAGGCAAAAATCCTAGGAGAAGATATTGCACTTGTGCCATCAAGAAGGTATGATTGTCTCTGTTTCTGATTTCGGTTGATGAATTTGACTTTTGTGCTAACGCTTGATCATGCAGGCTCTGAAGGGTGACAGAGGAAAAGGTTGCAATTATTTTGAATTGCATGATCCGATAATGTGTAGAAGGTCTATTGCTCTAATTCCTAGGCTATTGCGAGCATGAACTCTAAGGATGCTACAATTGAGAGACTAAGAGCAATGAAAAGAAAATTATTGTTGGCAAATTGCTTGCTGGTACCTCTGCTGATTTCTTTATTCTGTGATTTTTCCACTAATCATTACTAACTGCTTGATTAGTGAATTTTAGCCTTTTCTGTCTTTGTTCAATAAAACAAAAGGTAAGAGAAAGCTGAAAATATTAAAAAATGTGTTTCAAATATTAAAAAATTGAAAAAGGTGTTTTAAGTGCTAGCACATGATCTCAAGTGACTTGGTTCTAGCTGAAATTGAAGAAAATCCGTCAATTATCCAATTTGGAGCAAAATTGAATAGATTGGAAGGGCCAAAATTGATTTTCAAAAAACACTGGGGACTAATTCCACCCATGAACAATAGATTGGGGGCCAAAATTAAAATTCTCCCTTTAATTTAACAATTAACATCTAATGGCATGCCTTAGAACATTTCAAGTTATATACGCTTCTATTAACCAAAGAAATTTGTTATCATCAAACTCTATTTCGGAATTCAAACCACAACTTCCACCATTACAAAATTAGTAAAATAAAAAAAAAGATAGGTACCCAAAACTAAAAGAATTAAAATTTAAAATAGTATAGAAATTTAACCTGCACACTTAATTGAGTATAGATATAAATCTAGCATTGATTCACTCGGAAATGCATCCAACCCAGGCTATAATTGTGCCTAAAGCTGAATGGAGTTGGAAAGACAGTCAAATCACCTCTTCTCCCAATTAACCCGTGCACTAGAAAATTCAAGAAATGCTTTTGGCATGAAGCTGAAGATTGCTATGGATGATAACGAATGCACTCATTCCATGCTCATCACTTCTTTCTCCCGAACAAAATTCAAGGCAAAAGCAAGGAATTGGTCGAAAGAAATCAAGAGATTAATTAGGACGCAGGATGCACCAACAACATGATCAGGGCAAGGACTCCTATGTCCAATAATTTTGAATGCTGTGCTTTTGGCACTTCCATTGTTTCCCTCTTTCTTTGCCGAACTTTAGAGCTACTTTGGATCCTACTTAGTCTCACCTACTTTAATATTTTGTTTATCCAATCTGCTTATCTTCTCATCAACTCACTCGTACTATATGTTATTTTTCGAACAGCTGACAATTTCGTCAACTACTACCGAAGTCTATGTCGACTAAATTTGCATGACGTTTTATTGATAAATTCTAGTATCTTAGTCCTCTAGAATCTGCTCATTTCTTGGCGTTTTATAAGACCCAGTCATGCGTGGCTTCTGCATCCTTGACTTGCTAATTCCAATCTTGCCAAATGGCATTTCTGTGACATCCTATATACGAAGAGAAACCACATGCAAATCCAAAACTACGTATCCTTTGCCGCTTGGATACACCTATAAATAGCAACGTTTCTAAAATTTCTGCCAAGAGCTAGCTAAGTAGCAAATTATCTGGCCATGGCATCATCTACCTCCGCTGCTTCTAATTCTCCAGTCTTGATTCTTTCCTTGTTCATCTTCCTCATCTTCCCTCCTGGCTCTTTTGCCAGCAGTAAGTGGAAAATACCACAGCCAGATGTTGATCTCTTGGAATTTCCACTGAATTTGGAGTTCTTGGAAGCTGAGTTCTTTTTATGGGGTTCTCTGGGATATGGATTGGACAGCATAGCTCCTGAGCTAACGGGAAATGGTCCAGCACCTATTGGTGTTAAATATGCCAAACTGAGTCATCCTGTTAGAGATGTTGTTGCTCAATTCGCATTCCAAGAAGTTGGACATTTGAGGTAATCCACTGGCTGATCAGCATATAAAATTTCTTGATCATATATTTCTTTATTTACTCTAGTCGATAGGGAAATAAAAAAGGTTACTTTTTTGAAAACCATTGATAATTATGACAAATTTTCATCAATTTTTTTGCTTGAAGCAGGGCAATTAAGAATACAGTGCCAGGATTTCCAAGGCCATTACTGAACTTAAGCTCAGAATCATTTGCAACTGTGATTAACAGTGCATTCGGGAGAACCTTGTGGCCTCCTTTTGATCCTTATGCTAATGACATTAACTATCTCATTGCATCCTATGTTATTCCTTACGTTGGACTCACAGGTTATGTTGGAGCAAATCCAAACCTCGAAAGTCCTTCTGCAAAAAAAGTATGTTTCAAAGTTACAAAAATCAAAGCAAATTTTTTCCCTTTAATTTCACACAAGTTTCTCATACCTAATGAACTAAAATCAATATTTTACCACCTGGGCTCACTCTAAAATTTCGTTTTCTCCTAAAATTAGCTAATCGACAATGTTAAACGATTTCAGCTTGTGGCGGGGCTCCTCGGTGTGGAATCAGGCCAAGATGCAGTGATTAGAGCTTTACTATTCGAGCGGGCATACGTGATGGTAAAGCCATATGGGATAACAGTGGCAGAATTCACAGACCGTATATCATACCTAAGGAACCAACTTGGACATGCGGGTGTGAAAGATGAAGGGCTAGTGGTGAGGGCAAGTGAAGGTCCAGAGGGAAGAATTTCAGGCAATGTTCTTGCTGGTGACAAAGACTCCCTTTCATTTGGTCGAACACCAGAGGAAATTCTACGAATTGTGTATGGAAGTGGGAATGAGAATAAAACTGGTGGATTTTACCCCAAAGGAGCTGATGGTCGGATTGCCAAGTCTCATCTAGAGTAAATGAGGCACACAACTTCAACCGAATTGATGATCAGAATTCAGAACTGCTGAGTCTAACCTTTTTGTTATGGGCATTGATGATCAACTGGTTTGTTTTGCGTTCAAATTTTGAACGTATTGGTATTTTATACAACAACAGTCAACACCCCCAAAATCCTATTTCCACTGTAAACAAAAACGTATAATAGAATACTGAATAATCTCTTGGTAAAAATAGTTTTTCTACAGTACTGATGGTGTTTTCGACATTTCCAAGCTACTGAAGATTATTCATCAATTTGTCCGTGTAATGGTAGTTAGGATATGTATTTATTAGTGCATACCAACTATGACATAGGCAGGATTTTTTGTTGGGGGGGGGGGGGGGGGGAGTGCTCGTGTGGTTGGCAAATCTTAGAATTTTGAATTGCAAGTTTGTTTCTGCGTGTCTATGAATTCAACGAAGAAATAATCTTTAAGCTGCATTTTCTCACTTCCGTTTAAATAATTGCAAGGAAATTGCAATTGAAAATGTGATTGAAAATGAAGTTTAAAATGAACTTTTAATAAGCATCACATTTTTTTTTTAATCAAGGCTGACATTAACTAGAAACAAGTAATCATCGCGCATACAAAAAAATATAAGACAAGAATGTTGCCATTGAAGTTGATCCTTCATTTTACACCTTCATGAAGAGAATGCCTAAACATTTACAATTTTGATTATCGTAAGAAATAAATAAATTAGACAACACAGATAGAAGAAATCTGGGACTATTAGTCTCAAAATGAACGTTTAACGAATTAGCAATTCCTTTTAACACAATAAGAAGTTATGAAGATCGAAAAATAAGATTTGAAAGAAGTAAAGATTTAAGTATGCATAGGGCTAGCTAAAAGCTAGCGGGAGGCTTACAAAAAAAATCTTGACGGAGAGAAGGCAAGATTATAATTTTAAAACAGCAAGAGAAGGACCCCTTGATATGAAAAGAAAATCTCATAAAAAACTTAGTTAGCTTATCAGAAAAAAAAAATTTAAAAAGAGAAAAAGTAACTTAAATTTAAAAAATTGAGCAAGACGATTCCAAATCGTCTCATATCTTAATATCTTAAATGAAACAATTTAGCTTTTTCGGTTAAGTGTACGGTGCCAGTTGTGCACAATATCAAGTGTATTGGTCTTAGGGGCGAGCCTCTGCATATCATTCATGTAATTGTCTCCATAGATAAAAGAAAATTTGTTGTTAGTTTAACGCTGGTAAAGAAGGAGTCATAGATACACGTATAATATCATGAGCGGATGGATTTTACTAGTGTCTTATTTACTCAGAGAGAGATTCTACACCTAATAAAATAAAAGAGAAAAGAGAGCAGTATAAGGAGAGGGAAAGAAGAGGCCTTCATACTTCACTTTATAAACTTGTGTTTCATAGTTTTACTTGCAAAAACTTTATGGTTTTGCACGTTTTGAAAGATTGGACCATCCTCTCAACCTGCGGTGAAGCTCCAGAAACCATAGAACATATGTTACTCAACTGTCCACATGCACTGGAAGTATGGAAATCAGCCCCCATACAGTGGGATGGAGCAAATGATCAGAGGGGTGATTTCATGAGATGGTGGACGAGAGTTACAGAAGCAAGAACTAGACAGGAAGGCAAGGAGCATATTGGCTTGACAGCAAACATATTATGGCAGGTATGGAAAGATAGGAACAAGAGGGAATATGAGAACTCAAGTAGATTAGCTCCATTGAGATTAGTAGAACGGGCGCACAAAGAATGGATGGAACAAGGGGCTGAACATCAGCAGGGGGATAAAAGGAGTGCAGAAGAAACAGTACATACCAATGATCTCCAAGGACAGAGCAATGGAAATGAAGGGGCCTTAATCATACAAGTGGCAACAGTAAAGAAACAAGGGCAAAACGTTTTTGGCATAGGAGTCACAGTAAAGAATGTGGCAAACTCTAAAATTGCAGATTGGATGCTGACAGAGAGAAGTTTGGGGAACAACATATTAGACGCAGCTCTGGCAGTAAAATTGGTTCTATGCAAAGCTGTACAGCAGCAGTGGAGGGAGGTACGTCTCAATTTCTGCAACAAAAAACTATGGAAACAGCTAACACAGCAACGGCCAACAGATAGTAAGATGGCTACATTGCTGGAGGATATTCTAAGTCTGAAGAGACTGTTTTGTATGTGCTCTTTTGGTTTGGAAAGTGAGGAAAATATGTTAGACAGTAGACTAATGAGTGCAGATGCTTTAAGCATAATTGTGGATGAGGAAAGATATTTCCTCAGTGTTCGCTGAACACTTTTTGTGCAGTTACTTCGAGCCGTTGCTCGTACATGTATAATGGTTTTTAGATAATGAAATTTCCTATCGTTTCGACAAAAAAAAAAAAAAAAGCATTCAAAACAATAGCACTTTTAACAGTCGAAGGAAGATATAAAACATTCTAAAATATTCTATCTAAATACAAATAAAGTGAAGCCAACTTATCAGCAGACGAGTTAGCCTCACGAAAAATATGCACCACCGATGTTGAAAAATATCTTAATAAACCCCTTATTTTCTATAAAACCATACATAACGACCATTTAGCTAATACTCTTGATCAAATCAAGCTTGTAAGTACCTGGGAACCCACCTCAACCTGTGAAGGATGAAACCCTCTCTCATTGCATAATTGAAGACCATGCAAGAATGATTAGGCTTCTGCTAACAACACATCACATTCTCCAAACTCCTTATAATATGCAAACACGAATTTTCCTTCATCATTCCTGACCAAACTACCACCAAAAGCAAGTCCTTTAAAAATACTCGCATCAGAATTTAGCTTGAGCTGCCCCAACGGTGGTTTCACCTAAGCGATCGCCACATGATGAGCCTTCTTGGCTGATGCGATTGCAAACTAAAACACAACACATCCCTATCCCCTTTAAATTGTTTCTCCTTAAACACCCTCAAAACACCCAATAACTCCATAAACTGATCAACCTGACATATTACAGTCAATGGATCACAAGAGCCACCCCTAAAATGTGCATTATTCCTTTCTAACCACATACACCAACAAATAACCATTGGAAAAATGACCCCTATATGATTTTTAAACTCCAACAGATTAGAGTAAAACAATGTTAAGAAAATCGAGGACAAACACCCACATCCATGCACGACCATCCCAAATCTCCTAGCAAAATGGGACCATACCTCCTCTGCTAGTGGTCCTAACAAGAAGAAATGTAATGCTATCTCCTCTGCATTGTAACAACAACGACATCTTGATGGAAGACAAATACCACATCTCGGAAGATTAACATCCAATGGCAGATAATTTCAAGTCAATCTCCAAGCAAAAAACAATAATTTCAACGATAGAGCAGACCACAATAGCAAGTGTGATAGCCTCACCTTCCCTTAGGGTGTACCCTAAGGGTTAGCGAACTGTCTACCCAACTCTCGTCAGGACTATTAAGCCAAAATTCACATTTACCATACTAAAACATGCAATTGAGCTTCAATTAATCAATCCATCCTATATACGATGGAATCTCTAAAAATTCGACTTAAATTACAAGCCAGAGCATCCAAACTAATACAAATACATGTGAGGTTTACTAATATAGAGGAGCTCAAACCAAAAACAAACTATAACTAGCTCAACTCTTTTCCCAAAATTCACGCTCCAAAAATTTTACCCCCATAAGGAAAACAAAGGTAACAGGGTGAGCTTTCGCCCAATGAGGTACCAAAAAGGTCACGCAGTCAAGAATCACACAATTGCGATTTTAATCAATCAAATATAGAAATAAGTAAACACCACAGTTTAAACAAAGTAGTTCAGGTAAAAGGATGCAGATGGCTCTCAATAGCCAAATTCTCCGTTGCATTACTTGATCCAAACCCGTTGACACTTCATCAACGATTAAAGAAGCAAAACCATGACCGTAGATCCCTACTTTGCATCAATTTTCGTCCACCAAACATACCCCTTACCGGGCCCGAACACCAAACAGGAACAGTGGTGGTAATACTCGAATATACCGGATATCAGAAGTATTCAGTGAATCAGTAATAGTTTCCTCATGGTTCGTCATTTTACCTCGACCAAACCCTTGTTGGATCAATTCGATTGACTAATGAGGTTTGAGCTCAAATTTCACAGTAAGGTCATTGGATATTAACCTCCAAACAACATCAACTCATGCACAAGTAACATATCCAAATTTCATAGGAAACCAGTCAAACAGTCAAAGGAAACGAGGGTGATAAAGTACACCCTCGTCCCGTCCAGGATAACTAAAGTCACATTCATTCAAGTCATAAATTTCAAGCACAAGTAAATCAGTTAAGCAACAAGTCATATGAGTGGTACACTCACCAGTTCAAGCAAAAATAGCGTCAAAAGTTTCCTCCTGGATTACGCCCTTGATCACCGACAAGGCCTAAGATCAACCAAGGTAAAATAATTATGGTCCCTACATCCAATGCCAAGTGAACGGAATTCACAATTTAGGCTCGACTATGAGGCGTATGCCTATCCAAGTTAACTTTCCAAAGCCCAACATACATAGATAGATTTAGAGTGCAAATCAAAGAAAAATCCAAGTATATGTTAGGGCAAAACTCAAGTAAGGTTTTGGAGTGAATGAGAGCATTTTGGACTCAAGAAAACATGAATAACCAACAAGTTTCTTATTCGCTTCATGGCTGGAAAATTTCCACCCGCAAAACAGTGAAAGAAACAAGATGTTTCACTACTTTATACTTATGATATTCACTCGACCAACTAGCACAACTTCAGCCAGCAATTTGGAAGAAAATCCCAATGAAAACCCTTCCATTTCAACCAAAATACAATACATAAGCAAAGCTTAAAGGTTCACTAAGCATATTAGGCAAGTACATCACCAAATCAGCCCACAATCTAAGGTAGTAAGCTGCCCCAAAATTTGGACAGCATAACCCCTGTTTTGTCCTATATTTCCTCTCCAAATTCAACACAAAATTTCATGGCCAAACCATCCAAATCAAGACCACAAATGATAGGCTATACAAGCTACTAATTTCAAAACTATAAAGCCACCAAAAATAGAGAAGTATTCAGCTCACATGTCTCCATATCAAAGCTGGCTATCAAGCAAAATTAAACTCTACAAGCTGGAATTTCCATAAGCAAGCTAGTAAAACATGTACAAGCTGGAAAAATCACACGGCATGGCTAAAAATTCATAGTAAACCTGATATTAACATATTAACACTGATTTCCCTCAACTAAAGCTGGAAATTTTGATTCCCTACACCAATCATGAATTTTTTCACATAATAACCCATAA